TAAAACATTACTGTTTTACATTTCAAAAGTCAACATAAAAATATTCAAATTTCACATTTTTACGCGCCTTTTATATTCGGTATTTCACTGATTGCAGTCGCAATGAATTTTGCATATTGAGTTCTCATTGGACTGATTATTGTCATGTGAAAGAAGTTTGTCGTTTTTTTTTTGTTTTTGCTTAAATGTGTTCGCATCTTCCAGCTGAAGCACGATGTAGATCCTGGAGTTGAAAGCTAAATGCCAATTTCAAACATGAAAGATCGCCATTTAACATCGTATTGCGTACTATTTAATTTTTAAATAATTTTTTCATTCAGAATTCAAAAAACAGCAAAAAATTTACACATCTCTATAGTTTTTAAATTGAAAAAAATTTCACGCCAAATAGATTTTTTTTATATTTTTATTGGCATATTTTACCGTTTTTTTTGCCAAGATTCCATTCCGAAGTTGTATGAATTGTGAAAATCCGTCAAAACGTTCTTGAGTTATAAGAATAGTAACTAATAAACAAATTGAAAAAAATCTTCAACTTGTTCGCTGTCTTTTTACAGCGATTGTTTAAAGGTCCTTACGAAGTTTGGTCCTTACTATTATTTTGAAATTTGATTCCATTGAAAAATTTTATCTATTTTTTCCCGATTTTAGAGTTTTTGTAATGCAATAGGCTCTTTTTTGATTTTTTTTTTGCCATTTTAAAAAAAGTAATTATCTTCTAACTTTGGTTTGACCACATTATTTTTATTTCATTTTGACATGATCTATTCAGGTTCGCCACTCCATAATTGTCGTCGCTTTATACTACCCAAAAAAACTACACTTCATACTAGAATTAAAAAAAAACACTTCAAATGTACATGGAAAAAAAATCATGCAAAATAAAAAATTACTATTGTACACTTCAAAAGTCAACATGAAAATGTTCAAATTTCACATTTTTACGCAATGTTTTTGGATTTTACCCTTTTCTGCCAAGATCAACGGTTCTTGAGTTATAAGCGTAGCAACTAACACAACTTTATTTTATATATATAGATAGATTAGAAGTACGCTTGTTTAGTTCATCAGACCCCAAATAAATCCCTAAATTGGAGGGAAATCAACAGTATTTCGTAATTTTCAAACCAATATCTTCATTATCTGGCAAATATAAAGATTTTAGGTAAATAAAAATAGTGGGCGTAAAAGTAGGCGTGGTCAATATTTTCTTTAAAAACCTAACTAGGGGTATGACGAACGTTTGTACAAAAAATTATATAAATCGATCCAACCGTTTTCAACTGATTCCATTACCAACGAACAACAATTGATTTATATATATATAGATTATATTATAAAGACTGAAGTAAGGTGGTAGCTTTAGCGTCAATTCGTTGAAATCTGACATTGACATATCAATGTTGCAATAATAAGTAAGCAGTTTTCAACTAATGTTCAATACGATAAGAGGTGCAACAAACTGCACGATGATTCCATTCCAAAAAAATTGAGACAGTTATTACTTAAACATTAGAGGGCCACCTTACAGCATCCTGGAATGGTGTAACAATATAAATTAATGCGATAAATAGTATAAAGTGGTGGTATAGTGCAGATATGTGAGCAGTTTCGAATGTAAACGATAAACGAATTGATAGTTCAAAGTCACCAAGAACCCACAGTTATGAATTCGGACTTGATTACAGAGTATTTTTAGATTTAGACAAAAACCAGAGTTACGGATTTAAGTTAAAGGAATTCCGCAGTTACGGATTAGCTACGAAAACCAAGTATGTGAAATCCGCAGTGAAGGATTTGCTCCGAAAAAAGAGTACTTTGGTGGCCACATTACAATACGAGATTTCAATTTCGAAAAATATGTTTATTAATGCCGACGAATAGATTTATGCAGTTTCAAGAGAGCGATTTTTCGGTGCGGAATTGGTCCAGTGACAATCCAATCAAATATGGTATTTTGAGCAAGCAGTGAACCATACGAAAAACGAAAGAGGTGGTTTTTAATTATTCTGGGTTACAAGTCTGCTCCTATCAAAATATGAACTGGACTTGACTTAAACAATTTTGAATCTGCTAATACGACATTAGGTAGCTGATTTCTGAGCTAAAACGTGGCCGCAAGCGAGGGTAGATTTCCTGAAATCGAATTCAGCACGACCACTGAAGTTTTCAGGGTCTAGGCTACTTCTGGTCTAGGCTACTTCTGATTTCAATATTACAAACATTCTTTGGTTAACACCCGAAATGGTGGAATTGGACGCTCTGTGACGAAAGAGGACTCAAAGGCCGGATCTATCAACGCCCTATCAGAATACGAACCACCTTGATGAACAACTTTCACCCTTGCAGTGCCCAAAAAGACCGATTGATTCTGCGCAGCGTGAAATGCCCGTCGAACTACATCTACAGCCGATTTGGAGGAACGAAATGCATTTAAATCGGGAGATTGATTAGTGCTTGGGGAACAATTTGAGGGAGAAAAAGGTGGAGCCGAAACTGACAAACACGAACTTGGAGGTGTTGCCATTATACTTGGACTATTTGTTGTTGAACCACCTCTATGAAGTAAAGTATGATGACATCGATTACAAACCAACCACCGACGGCGACATCTAATATAATACGAAATCAGTTTGTACCTTTATCCTTCCTTATCCTTATCCCATTCACTCTACTATTTTCCACCCTTTAAATTTGGTATTTTACTCATTGTACTCCCAAAGAATTTTGTATTTTATAATTGGATAATTGGATCCCAATGATCCGTAGGAATGCCATATATATATATTTTTAAATTAAAGCTACTTTCTTTTTCGATAACAGGAAGCGCGAAAAGACATTTCAAATGACTATGGACGAGTAACCGAGGGTTATTATATTCGTGGCCAGGGGAAATCATGAGACGATTTCTCGAGCATCTCCGCTGGTTTTGCGCGCTAAATAACAAAGGCGCTCAATATCACTCAAACGTGAATTATTTATGTATACCGCGCTAAATAAATCTCTAAACGCGGGCCATGTTTGAAAACTACCATCGAAGACGTCTATGCCACAAGGAGGCAAACCTAGTTTTTGAACACTTTTTACCAGAGGATGATCAACAAAACTCTTTACGACACTAGGATTCTCAATAGAGGATATGAGGAAATTAGCTTGAACGCCCACTTCACGAGAAGTGTGTGTAGAAGAGCTCAAGTTTATTAAAGTAACATCGCGAGACTGTGCTTCTATAGGAAGATCACGTGGATGTTGCGATAATGATGCTAACGAACTACTACGAGAAGAGTTCAACAAAGACTTTTTCGATCGACTAACGTCAGACAGCCTGGTTTTCAAATGACTTAAGCAAACCACATATTTTTCATTAGCTTCCCCATATTTTGTGTAAACGGAATCAAAATCCGCTTTGCTGACCGCACCCGACGTTTCCAAACAAATTTCACATAATTTGAAACTCTCGTCAGTAGCTTTCCATACATTTACTAAATTCGAGCTACGAGCCTATAATTCGAAGAAATCAAGACCTTTAAGTTTTAATTTCTTAACGTATCCTATGACTTTATTAAGTATTTTTCATTTACAATTAAAAGCAACTAGCGGATTTTGTGACATGATTATTAAGTAAAAGTACGAAATTCAATTCCAAAAATTATCTTTTCTACCGAAATTGTAGAAAAAACCCGACAAATTTGTCCAAAAAGTTTACCAAAAAACTAAGAAAATTTGAATCAACGGAAAATATTCCAAAATATTTGCCAAAATGTATCTACTTTTTTCAAAATATCCAAAAAATGCAAAAGATTCTACAAATCACCAAATGAAATTCAAAAAATATTGACTAAGATTGAATAAAATCTATTGAATACCAAGTAAATTGTGTTTTAATTAATCAACACAATAGTTCAAACGTGCCGACTATGGGGTGCACACAATTTAAATTGACCAAAATGCTTTTAACTATTCATACACACACTCATATTTAATACTCTCAAAAAAAATTGAATCTTTGTATCAAACGTGTTACTTAACCACAATCGATCGACCAGAGTGGTGTAGCGTACACGTAACAAAGAAGAACAACCAATCGACGTATGTACGTTTATTCTTGACGGTCAAGCGACGGCTGACTGTAACAGGGTTATGTATGTATACAGCGTGTGTGTATGATCGAACTACGAACAATGAGAAAGTAATAGAATGTAAATATGTCAATATCATAAATATGTGCAAATGATTATGTATGATTATTGAACACCGAACAATGCAATTTGGAATGAGTGCTTAAATTTGTTGATAAATTTTATTTATCTCACACAAACATGAGATCACAACACAAATGTGGCAAAACAAATAATGATAGCATCCAATTTGTACTTTCCAGCAAAATTTATTCTTGGAATTTTATGTCGCTGGGTTAAGCAAGGGTTTTGCATTTTTTCTCGTATTCTTGTTGAGTACTTGCAATTGTATTGCGATGACGTTTTACGACATCTGCTACTTCTCCAATGTTTTCGATTTTTTCATCCATCTCCATCTGACAATTCAGTTGCACTTAGCACTTTGAACTACATACAGGTGTATGAACACTTTTCTTATTCAAATACGATCGGAGTATTCTATTTTTTTAATTCAAAAAATAATAAACACAATAAATAAAAAATAGAAAAGTACTTTAATTGTACAAATAATTACTTTATATTGGCTTGTAAATTTAAATGGAAGGGAGCAAACAAAGGGACTACAAATAAAGATCAAAGAATTTAGTGAAAGGTGGGCACATAAGCAAAACAAATAATATATAAAATGAAATTAAACGAATTTATTATTGCACATACAATTAATTTACGTAGGTAAAATTATACCCCAGATCTAAAAAGAAAAAAGGGACAGCAAAATTTAATTTAATGTCTAAAAAAAAATAATAATACTGAAACTTTTCTTGAAATTAATATTTTTACAGAAAAACTTACTATTTATGTTTGTTGAGAATGAAGACAAAATTTAATTGTTTGAACGACATTTAAAAATTCTTTATTCATCAAGTATTAGCAGACTACTCCTTTTACAAACTTGTGGAAATACTTCTTCTTATGCTTATTTTTAATAAACTAATTTTCGAATGATTCATAAGCTAATACACAGTGTGTTAATATTTTCTATAAATATTGAATAATATGGACGATGTATGTAAATAAAACTAACCCAAAACCTTTACAAATTATTGGGCCATATGCGTTTACGAAAGACAAAATAATTGAAGTCATGCATTAGGTGTAACATTTTTGTTTACGTAGCATGTTGCAACAAACACAACGTCATGACTACCGAATAATTTTAATTTATTTATCTGTGTTGCTAATTCCGTCTAATTTATATGTGTGTTCTTTTTAATTACACTAGTCCCCGACTTGCGTTGTTAAGGAGGACCAGTGAAGCCTCACGAATCATCTTTTTATATGTACAATTCTATTCAATATTCGAAACAAATAAATCATTTATATTCTTCATAGATTTTTCAAAGCGATTCTCTTTTTTTGCTCATATTAGTTGAGTCCATTATAAAAAAGGTAAGGCCGATCTTCAACATGATTAGAATTTTGTTCTAAGTTGATTGGTTTTGAAAAAAAAAAAACAGTACATGTTCGTATGCCATGGGATTGAAACAGCTTGGATCATATTTAACTCATTTCAAAACTGAGGAAAATATGAAATAAATGAAAACAACTTGTTGCAAATAATTTTGAAAAAATCAAATTCAGGAGGCGAGCATAGCCTCAGGCTACCATGTTTGTAACCTCATACTTTTAATGGCAAAACTTGTAAGATAATTGCTAAAAAAAATGTTAAAACTAGTTGACCATATTTCGAAATTAAGAAATAAGCCAATCAGAAGCTGGTAATAATGCTACTATTTTAAAAGGCCAATTTGTCCAAAAAGTACAGAAACGTTAAGTTCGGCAGGATTGAACCTTTAAAACCATCGACCATGAGGCAAATAATACCATAAAAAGCTATCATAATCTAATAATTCTATTTTAAACTGAACACAATTAAACTCATCAAGATATCATAATGTGGGCGGTACCATTATATGGAGGTTTTACGAAACATGAACATGAATACCTCATTACCTAATTTAAAACAGCTCTGTTTATTTTTTTTAATAAAAACATGAAAATACTTAATATCGAGAGGTGTCGGTATGTATAGAAAGCGTGAACTTATGCAGACGATGTTCGTTCGTCAAAATGCCACCACCAGTAGTATTTCTTATTACGAACTCTTTCTATGGAATTTAAAACAAAGAATATGTACTTATATACATAAGAATACCGAATATAGAGAGGTATCTTTATATAGGGCTAACTGATATCAAGCACCAATATTACCCATTTTCGAACCTGACCTGCCTGCGGATAAAGTACCCTAGCTTGATTACAACAAAGGGACGGACAGTCGGAAAGAAAGCTTTAAACCAATGTAAAATTTAATGCCGGTCAAGGAAATGTATACTTTGATGGGTCTAAAATTACTATTAAGATGAATGTCAAATGGAACGACAACATAATATACTATGTATGGTGGAGAGTATAAAAAGGTTAAATTTCACCAGCCCGAACCCTCACTATGAGGTAAAGAAAACCATTATAATTGTAATAATTCATCTTAGAACAAAACTGGCCCATATTTTGCATCAAACACAATTCTTTTTATAGGAAAAAATCAGATCACCAACGTACTCAGGAGACCCGGGCTTCTTGCTCAGATAGTTTGGTAGTTTTAATATTTATGAACTTCAAGTGCAAAAATTTACTGTCATACATGTGAATACAACATTGTACTTCCCTCTATATTCACGATTACTTGAATCCCTTATAACTCTCACGTTCATCATTCACACCGGTGTAGAAAATTAAGAAATATTTTTTTTTATGAAGTGCATAGATCAGTATTTTTCATTATTTTCCGATATTTATCGCACTAGTTTCATAAATTGGCTAACGATTTATAACACCTATACTTTACCAATACATATTGGGGGCAAAACTTTCAGTCCAAAATAATTAAAAATAAACGTGTTCGCCGCTGCAGCTTCATTGAATGTGAGACCCGCTAATAATAAAGTCATGAGTTCAAACTTTACCTTTTAACTATCCAAATTCAAAATACATCATACCACAAGGTATGAAAATCCGTGATAGTTTCAATATCTTTGTATATACGACAAATACAGACAACTACTATATATTAAATTGGCACATTTCCTACTAATAATATTTATGCTACAGTGTAAGGGTGTGGTCTCTCGTGTGCTATTGTGGAGGACGGCAGCGACCAGCAGAATTTCCAGAGAAGTCTACATCTTTCTGCTCAATAATAGGAATTCGATCATCGTAGAGAGTTGGAGCTTGCAATATTATTCCAGCTGTACCAGCTAAAACCGCTAGTGTAAAAATCCACAAAAATAGTCGATCAAGGACCATAGCAACGTACTTCCAATCTTCTTTAACCTAGAATTAGATAATAGAGAAAAACAGTTATTTTCGTAATAATTACATTAAAACAAGTAATAAAACATTAAGTTCGGCCCGAATTTTATAACATTTTTTTTATATATGTACATATATATATATATATATTTATAAATATTATATATAATCTTGTTTTATTATTTATATATATATATATATATATATATATATATATATATATATATATATATATATATATATATATATATATATATATTTATTTATATATGTATATACAAAAATAATAAAACAAGAATTTTAAAAACCAATTTATTTGTAATACTTCAATGCGTAAACAAACAAATCGCTTGTTTTACCATCGCGTGAACATGCCAGGATCTGCTGACCATAAGAAAAGCAGGTACATGTCAAATTTTGTCGCATACAGAAAGAATTTTTCCTTCGGATTAATTCATTTTATAGGCTTTTGCTTTTAAAGAATTCGAGGTAGCAGCATAATCGAATCTTCAGTTAAAATGTTGTGTACCTTTTTTACTGTTAGTCGAATACCATTACAAACGCGTTGTGGGACAAAATCATGTCCCAATCTGAACCGATTTCAATATAATTTGACAGAATTTATTTTTGGACCGAATTCCGTCACGCCTTCCATTGAAATTGGATATACATAGGGTATTTGGTGCATCAAATATACCAAATGGGCCGAAAGTTTATATGGGAGGTATCTCCAAACCTCAACTAATTTCAATATAATTTGGAAAATTAATTTTATACCAAATTCCACCACACATTCTGAATTTCATTGGAATCGGACATATATATTGTGTTTGGGATCTATATCCGAACCTCAACCAATTTCAATATAATTTGGCAATTTTTTGTACTAAATTATAAATAAATAATAAATTTCAATAGAATTGTTTGGAGTACCAAATATAAAAATATTAATGGGAGCTACATCCAAATCAGAATCGATTTCAATATAATTTGGCAAATGTACGTTCATTTTTAATTCCGTTACACATTCCTAGTTTCAGTGAAATTAGAAATACATAGCGTGTTTGGTGCATCAGATATTGAAATCGGTCGAAAATATATATGGAAACTATACCCAAATCTGACATGATTTCAATATAATTTATCAAATTTATTTTTGTTCCTAATTCCGTTACGTATTCAAAATTTTGGATATCGATAAAAAAAATGTATATAGCCTATGGTTCTTTCAGGCAATCTTGTAGTATACTTGGAAAATTTCAGGAAAATCTGCTTGAGCGGTTTTCGATTCCATAAATCACCATATAACGGTAGCTCCCGATATTCGGTATATTGACGATTTTAGGGTCATTATTCGCCTGAGTAGTTTCGAATTACGTAATTAGAGTTCGTAATGGGAATACAGGCTGTGACAGAAAATTGTCTATGCAAGTCCAAGTCTTCGTATAGGCCCCATATATCAGTACCTCCCTATATTCGATATTTTGACGATTTTAGGTACAATACTCACCGAAATTGTTTGAGATGTCGTATTTGAAGTTCGTAATGGATGCTACAGCCTGTGACAGAGAGTTGTCTATGCAGATCCAGGTCTTCGTATAGCTCCGATATAACGGTACCTCCCTATATACGATATTTTGATGATTTTAGTTACATTACCGTTTATTCATGTTTCGAATTTGAATATGGTAATGGCTTTTGACAAACAATGCTTATGTAGGTCCACGTCATATAGATCCCAATGTAACGGCTACAGTCGGTATTTTAAAAAATTTTAACAGAACTTTTAACGGATTTTATTTTTTGAATATTTCTGAATTCGTTCCAAATGGTGGAGGGTATTCAAAGTTCGGCCCGGCCGAACTTACTGCTTTTTAACTTTTTTTTTAGTTAGTTTGCCCAGGACCTACATCATGCTTCAGCTGAAAGATGCGAACACATTCAAACAAACACAAATGACCGACTATATGTGTCTCACATCAAAACATGGAGTTATTTCTTTCATATTTTATTTAAACGTTTTTGATAGTTCGGCCCGGCTATTTACTTATTTGACATTAGTTCTTTTATTCTTTAATTAGCAGATTTTCATTTTTGGCAGCCCTCAATGTCTTTATTTTCCACGGGTCAGAAAAAGTGTTGGTAACATATTAATTTGTATCCTTTTGTAATAGATCCAGTTATTAGGCTTTTCTTGAAGCTGAACCTCTTTTGGCTTCTTTGATGTCCGTTAATACCCGCAAGCTATTACGAAATTAAAAAACCGACGGAATAACAAAAATCAAACACGATTGTATGAATGTATTCTATATCAAATACTATATTTCGAATTAACTTAGATAACGTTTTAGCTCTGATGTTTGGTTTACGTTTAGAAATGACAATGCAAAAAAAAAGGACCGAAGTTTTGTGATAAAGTTATCCCATTGATTCTACATTAAGCTTCTGTATATCAATGTCTTGAAGAATTCATTTTTCTTTAAAGGGTATCCTTATCGTTTAGTCGGCACCGCCCGAGTATGTCCTTTATTTTCTTTTTTAGCCAGTATATAATTTCTCTTACCAAAAATCATCGACATTGAAGGAATTTTACGGCTTAGAGATATCTTAATATATAATACTGGGTGAGGTGAAAAAACTGCAAATAATCAGACTGCTGTCGTTTTCAAACCACTTGTCCGACAGCTGTTGTTTACAAGAAAAAAATTATTCGTGATGGAATTCAAGCGTAATAGTGTAATTTCTTTATATTTGGCTGGAAAATCACAAGTGGCTATCGTTAGAGCACTACAGCATTTAAATGTGAATAAATATTTTGTATCTCGTATCATCGCTCGTTACCGTGATACTGGTAGCGTCGGCTAACGTCAAGGAAGTGGACGGAAGAAAATAGGAACATCAGCAGAAATGGTTCGAAAATTAAAGAAGCTACTTGATCGAAACCCGCGTCGCAGTGGCCGAAAAATGGCTCGCTTGGCCGAAAGTGGTTTACTGCCGAATTGGATTTTTCCGACGAGAAAACATTCGTTGCCCAGCAGTTTGTAAACAAACAAAATGATGTGTTTACTTACAAGGAGGTCAGCTGAAAATGTGCACCTCCGGTTGGCCACCAGAATTCAGGTGCCGGCAATGGTGATGGTGTGGGTCGCCATTTTTTGCTTTCATTCAATAAAATTTAAAAATATATATATATTATGAAGTTTAACTTTGTTGCAGTTTTTTTATCTCGCTCTGTAAATATATATCTGAACAAATTAAACTTAAATTTTGCTAAATAATCGTTAGTTGAATTCAAGCTTGTGCGTGTGAGAAAATGCATAGTGTTTGGGCATACATCCCACTATTTGTGCGCAAGAACTTGAAATCAAGAGTAACTATATATAGGATCTATATCTAAATCTGAATGGAATATCACCAATAAAGCCGAAGTTCCGAACAACAGAATACAAATCTTAACTATTTTACTGCAATTTATATACACTCCACAATAGAAAGGAGAGTATGTTTGTCATTCTGTTTTTAGCAAAGATTCGTCCAAGGTTACTTTAAGTACAGTATGTCACATATTACTCCACACACTCAAAGAAATTCATATTTTCAATCTGTGTCTCAAGATTTCCAAACTGATGCATAAAACTGTCTTGTTGTTTGCATTATTATAATTCTGGGCATTCTTTGGTTAAATATAGTGCGGAAAATTTTTGAAATTCATATAAATTAGGTTTATTACAACGAAAAGGTGTCACAAAATACTTCATACAAATAACATTTTTCATTTATTTGTCCAGAAATTCGTTATTAGTGGTTCATGATAAGTCTTGTTATCCAGTTATTCACTTTTTTTCATATTTCTTCTACAAATGACATTGTATAGCCTCTTTTCTGTTACGGAAGCTCTTTTTGAGATATTTTCTGCACTTTTACTCTCTTACTGAATTTGGTTTGGAAAACTCTTCCTCTGTATAGCATCCAATTTTTGTAGATACAACGACAATTTACTATGAAAGTTCTTATAAAGCTATAAAAGAGAACCACACAAAATTTATCTAATAAAAAAGAAAAATTTTTGCAATGAATTTCTGGAAAAAACAAAATAAATAAAACAAGTTAAAAAGCAGTAAGTTCACTGGCCGAACTTTGAATACCCTCCACCTTTTGGAACGAATTTAAAAACTTTCAAAAAAAAAAATTCTTAAAAAAATCTGTTAAAATTTTAAAAATACCAAATATAGCCGTCTATTGGGGTCTATACGACGTGGACCTACATAGGCATTGTTTGTCATAAGCCATTACCATATTCAAACTCGAATCTAAACTCGAAATAAACAGTGAATAATGTAGCTAAAATCGTCAAAATATCGCATATAGGGAGGTACAGATATATGGGCCCATACGAAGACCTGGACCTACATAGACAATTTTCTGTCACAGATTGTAGTTCTCATAACGAACTCCAAATACGTAATTTGAAACAACTCTGGTGAATAATGACGCTAAAATCATCAAAATACCGAATATTGGGAGGTACCCTTATATGGGGGCTATAGGAAGACGTGAACCTGCACTGACGTTTTTCTGTCTTTGGGTGTAGTATCCATTTCGAACTTCAAATACCAAATTTGAAACAATTTCGGTGAATAATGTCGCTAAAATCATCAAGTACCGTTATATGGGGGCTATATGAAAACGTGGACCTACATGGCCCATTTATGAACTAAACCTGCCTACTGGAAAAATAAAGATGTGTGAAAAAATGTAGCCATCTATCTCAATGCATTCGAAAGATAGCGTGATTACAACAGACAGACATGAAGTCGAGGGGTTTTACATGATTATCGCCTTGACGGCTTCAACCATGATGCACCATTGCACAGGGGTCGCGATACGATGCGTCGGCCAGCGTCCCTTTGGAATTACCCAGAGTTCTCTTAGAGAGTGGTAGCCCTCCACGGAGTTGTAGGTCTATTCCGCAGGTACCAATTCGAAGATCAGCTATATGGGCTTCACTTCCCTCTTGGTAA